CACCGAAGACCATTACCAGCGACCGCGGTCCGCAATTCATTTCGGATTTCATGGATGAGTTGTCAAGGTTAGCGCGCGTCAAACTCAAGCTATCTACGGCAGAACATCCGCAGACAGACGGCCAGACCGAAATTATTAACCAGATCATTGACCAGCGACTGCGACCATTTGTCAATTTCCACCAAGACGATTGGGCGGAGCTGCTTCCCGCTCTAGATGCTGCTGCGGCAGCTATTCCAAATGAATCTATAGGATTGTCGCCATCAATGATTGACTATGGTTACGAAATGCGTTTAGAATTTGACTGGAATCAGCGACTGGAACCACGAACCCCTCGAGAGAAGCTGAATCGGGACGAGGCCGCGGTGTGGCTTAAACGGATTAGCAGCGCGTTGGATTATGCTAAAGAGAGCATCAAACGCTCACAGGAACAACAGCGTGTTCAAGCCAATAAACATCGCTGAGAAGTAGACTTTGACGTTGGAGATAAAGTGTATATCCGGCGCGGTGCTTGGAGAACTACGAGACCGTCGGATAAGCTGGAAAATCCAATGGTGGGACCATATCGGATCATTGCCAAAGAAGGGCATTCATTCCGCGTTCAACTACCCGCCTCTTGGAAAATACACCCTGTATTTTCACCAGACCGACTGCGCAAAGATCCAGATAACCCGTTGCCCGGCCAGGCCAATCCAGAGCCGTCGGCAGAAGAGGTCAATGGAGAGTTAGAATGGGAGATCGAGAAGGTGTTAGACGCGCGGCTGTATCGCAATCGGCTGCAGTACAAGGTTCAATGGGAAGGCTGGGACGCAGACGAGGAATGGTATCCGGCTGCCAACTTTCGGAACGCACCCCTCATATTAGAAAAGTTCCACGCTGAGCACCCTAAATTGCCAGGGCCACCAAGACGTCTCGCTACGTGGTTGGATGATGCCGCACATGATAGATTTAGTGAGGAACATCCGGAAGATAATATGGTGACCAACCAAGGTCGTGACAACCAACGCCGCCGCAGAAATTAGTCGATTTGGGACAATCGAAGGCTGAGGAGGGGGTGATGTCACGGCACGGCATTCTGCTCCGCCATGATATGCAATTACGTGGAGGGAGGATGTGAGACTGATGGCTGATGCAGGAAGGAGCACGGACGCGGCGATTTAGTGGAAACCCGCCCGAATAGGAATAGCCTCAGGGCTTTTTGTAATGAGATCCTGTTCTTTTCTATTCTTCTCCAGCTTAGTATTTGCTTCACAGATTGAATTATCGCCATACAAGCTGTACTTTCACTTGTGCCTATTCTACGCCGTGACACGGTGCAACCATATCTGATTCCAGCGTGAAGAAGCGTCTTCTAAACCACTTCATGAAATGCTGTAATGGATTCTAATGTCGACGGTGATTTTGTTAAAGGATCCCTCAATCAGTTTTCAATCAGCTGTCACTTCAATTCACGCGTCCCAAATTGTCTATCGAGATTTGCACCCAACACCAATGATTGCCCTATTAAATAATGATCGTCCAAGCAGTTCAACTTCGTCACCATCGACAATTGATAACAAAAAGACATGTGCTTACTGTAAGCGTCGAGGTCATTTGCGTGAGGGCTGTTTTCTCTGGATGGATACTCCAGACGGGTCAAAGTGGGCATTAAAAATCCCGAGAAGGCAAAGAAGGCTATGATATACGGGAGAAAATTAAGCGGCGCAGGGTTAAATCAAGGGCTGAAAGACAAATACCCAATAAAAACAACGATAATCCCAAGGAAGGGGCTTGGATAATGGAGGAACTAATTTTAGTATCAGAAGATCGCCAAAAGAATGATAATGTAGGTCTCAATACCGGTGCTACAAATCACATATTTCACGACTGTTCGATGTTTCATGGTATCTCACCCATTGACAAGTCTATCTGTACTGCATCGGGCCAATCTATTCCTGTTTCGGGTGTCGGAACTGTAAAGCTAAGGGTTTTTACCTATGACAAAATAAGAGCCAGCAAGATTATTGAGATCGAGAACGTGTGATATGTCCTGACATGTACCAGAGATCTTGTCTCAGGAGTCCAGCTTCTTTCGAAAGGCTTTGAAATGTGCTCCTCGAGCGGCGGAATGAGTGTGCTGTCATGCTCTGGAGAAACTATTGCCACAGCGAGACCCAAGGGCGGGCTGCTCTGTTTCAACACTTCTTCAGAGTCCACTCACCATTATCCTGAAGGTAAAACAGATGCATTGTTCTCCTACGACGTACAGAGATCACCAAAAGAAATCTTACATCATAAATTTGGGCATGTTGGTCCTCGACTTCTCGAGAATATCAAGGTGTCCGAATTTAAGCCTCCGATCGCCAAGGCCGGACAGATAGATGATTTTCATGTCAATAAAAAAGATGTACAAAATTGTGACGTATGCAATCTGTGTAAACAAGTCGAGAAATTAACCGTGTACCTCAACCAAAATCCTTGATTAAATTAGAGTTAATTCACAGTGATACATGGGGTAAATGCCGAGCTCCTGGAATTTTTGGAAGTCTTTATTTTGTCATATTTACTGATGAATTTTCTCGCGAGGTTATGCTTTATCTGATGAAAAGCAAGTCCGACGTTCCCCACTATTTCCGAGATTACAAGGAGAAAAAGGAACTCCAGACAGGTGAGAAAATAAAGGCAATGCGTATCGATGGTGGAACGGAGTACAAGACTATTAGTTTTGCTGGTATTTCGAAGCAGATCTGCGCGCCTTATACTCAACATCAGAATGGAGTATCTGAAAGATTAAATAGGACATTAGTCACAATGGCCAGGTGCATGTTTTCTCATTCTCGACTTCCCCTTCGTTTTGGGGATGCAGCTGTTCTTACGGCATGCTACTTGCGCAACAGGCTCCCAATCCACCAGAATAAGTTGACGCCGTTTGAAGCTATGAACGGTCATCAGCCTAATATATCTCACTTATTAGTCTGGGGTTGCGTATGTTATGCGCTTATTGACAAAAAAATCCTCAGCGATATAAATTGAAGGAGACATCCCTGAAAGGCATTTTCGTGGGTTATTGTAAATCAGCAACACAATACCGCGTCTATATTCCCTCGAAACCAGGAAGAGATAAGACAATAATTTCAGCAAACGTACAGTTTTTAGAAGAGTCTTTCTGGGAGTGGGGTGAACCTTCACACCAAACAATTTCTAGAGAAATCCTACCATTGGATGATGACTTAACTCTTGCTCTCGAAACTAACACTGATACAGGCACTGAATCGGAGCTGGAGATGGATACATTTGATACACAGAGAATTACCCATCAATTCCAAGTTAGTCCAACCAGAAATACATCCATTGGAGGAGCTAGAGAAGCATCTATTGAGGTAGGAGAGGAACCAGAAAGAGACGGAAATATATTTGCACCGACTGATAGCTTACTAGCTGCCGATGAAAGCGAAAATGTGGATGTACCAAATCCTCCAGGTCCATCTAAAGCTCAGGATGTCTCTAACACCCCAGAAGCTCCCCTGGAACCTAACCTTCGGAGGAGTTCACGCTTACGAAATCCAATCGGGCCTAGGTCTGATCGGCAGCCGAGGCCTCATGCTCTGCATGTAGGAAAAGGTAGCCCTATCCCTGGAAGCTTTCGGGATGCTTCAAATGGACCAGATAAAACTAGGTGGAAAGCCGCGATCGATGAAGAGCTTAAATCATTGAAAGAAAAAGAGGTATTTAAGCCTATAACTCACGTCCCTCGTGGAAAGAAGATCGTTGGCTCTAGATGGATCTTTACAGTTAAGTCTGATGGAAGATACAAAGCTCGCTTGGTTGCAAAGGGCTTTAGCCAGGTCCATGGAATCAATTACTTCGACAAATATTCCCTGAACTTTCGAATGGACTCTTTAAGGATACTTCTTGCCGTTAGCGCCTTCTACGATTGGGAAACTCATCAAATTGATGTTAGGACGGCCTATTTTGAAGGAGACTTAGAGGAGGATGTGTACATAAAATGTCCAGAGGGAATTCAAGGCGCTAACTATGTCAAGGTCGATGAAGCCCTATACGGATTAAAACAGTCTGGACGGGCATGGTACAAGAAACTGGACGCAAAACTTTCTTTGATAAAGTTCAAGAGATCAGTAAGTGACCAATGTATTTAAATACATCCGGAACTACAAATAGTAATTGTCGTGTGTGGTAAGGTTCTTAGTCAAGTTGTCAGGGCAAAACAACAGCTCTCGTCGTATTTCCCGATCAAAGACTTAGGGGAACTAGATGTTATCATGTTACAGGCTGCGCCTTACATCCATGTGCTTGTGCCTATCTATGTGCAAATCGCCGATGTTCTGTTATGGAATAAAAGTGATCGCCGATCCAACAAATACGAATCGTCGATAGATCACCTCAAGAATGCGGATGATCACCGATCCGATAGATATTAACCTCCCTGGAGTCAGAGCTACATGTATATATGTCCTGCAGCCTAGATAGATACCATTTCCTAGATAATTAGAAAATAGACTGTATTACGGCCAGCTTACTTTGTTCTTATTGTTTTGGTGATAGCCCATCACATATTGTCATAGCTAGATAGCTGAATACAATCTGAATTAAAAAAAAAAGCCCATCATATATTTTCTAATTCAATTTCCAATTTCCGGCTTGCTAATCAAGAAGGATATAACAGATTCACTGTCGTGTATGTTTAGGATCCCTTTCTTGGACAGCAATTCAACCGACTGCAATAAATCTCGAGTCACAGATTCAGAAACTACTCAATAGACGAAGACAAATTTGCGGCTGCCATTTCCGAAAAAAGCTCGAGCGATTACGAAAGTTGTAACTGGCAACAATTTCAAACAATGTCAGATCAAAATATGTCAGATCACGTCTTTTCGCCCGTGGAGCAACAGGATGCGCCACAAGGACATCCAGAGCAACCCGGCCAACAAACACGACAACCTGGGCTCACAAACATTCCCAATATCACACCGTCCCAATATCAAGCCCTCCGAGAGATAATAATGGCTGAGATCGCAAGCCAACAATCTCAGCAACCTCAGCAACCTCCAACATTTCAACAAACCCAACTATCCCAGCCTGCTCATCCAACTCAGCAATCCCAATCAATTCAACCCTCAAAACCCCCCTTCTTAACTTCAACCAAGCAACCGAGCCAATGGCCAGTTTGGGATGGATCGACAACATCCCTCAATGCCCACCTACTTCTTCCGAGAATTAAGATTAAAGAGGGTCGAGCTGTACTCGGCTCTGATAGAGCTATTTGTTTCGATATTTTTCGCTCTGTCCCGTCAGATAAGCAACCAAGAATCTTAAACTGGCTTGAAACTGGTGGTTGTGATAGTAATTATAATTGAAATCATTTTCTAGATCACCTGAAGGAAACATTTGAGAACAAGTTAGCCCGCCAAATAGCAGCTGATCAACTCAGTCGAATGCGAATGGGTGCCACTCAGTATTTTGTGGACTACCTTCAGGAATATGAGTTAAAGATTTCACAATGTGGAAAAACAGGTTGGACGGATGAATATAAAATAATGTATCTAGAAATTGCCATCAATGCCCCGCTTCGTCAGCTGCTGATGAACAAAAACTTGCAGGAAGACGATTATGCTAAATGGATTTCCAAAGTTAAAAGGATCTCTGGTCGTCTTGAAAATTCGCCGTCTTATCGGCCCCGCGGATCTTCAGGAAGCAAGACGTGGTATGTGGCCCATAACGGATCGAACCCGCAAGTACTATCTCAAATGCCAAAATTGAACCAACAGCCGGTCATAGATGCAGATGGGGAAACAAAAATGGGTGGTTTCAATGCCTTCAAAATTCTTCAAACAGCAATTATAGCCCTTAATGCAGGACATGATAATACTGCCGACAACAAACCCAGAGCTAAGTGGAGATTAAAAGATGAATTTCAAAGGCTTTCAAACGAAGGTAAGTGCATAAGGTGCCGAAAAATGAGACACAAATCTCGAAATTGCCCTACTTACCAACTAGCTATACGGCCGAAAGAAATTGCTAGTCCCAACAGCTCACGGATAAAAGAATCTGACAAGAATTCAAAGGATATTAAAATGGAGTTTGAGGAGTCAGAAAATGCTCTGTCGGGGGAAGACTAACCTCTGAACAACATTGCGTTCAGAGGGAGGGAGAAATTTGCAATAATAAGATTGAAACGGCTTTAGACGATATGAATAGCTCACTATATTTAATTGATTGCCAGTTAAATTATAGCTTTTACGTACATGCCTTAATTGATACAGGCTATCTATGTTTTGCTGTCTTCTCAAAAGATCTTGTGAAAGCCAATAATTTCCCGCGCATAAAAATTCCAAAACGAATTCTCCAATTAGCTGAGAAAGATGAAAAAGAAAGAACGATTAACGAGATAACTTTGGCTGACTTAGACATCGATGGAAGGAAAGAAAGAGTCTATGGATACATAATCCAAGATCAATCTTACCAGCTTATACTTGGGAAACCATGGATGGAGCAAAATGATGTTGTTTATCTTGCAAAAAAGAGAGAAATTCGTTTCGGAACAAGGGCAGATAGTTTAATTGTTAGAGAAAAGGGCTGGTACCATAGCAATGACTCTTCTGGTTTTAAAACAAATATACATTTTGTCGCCAGTGCTGTTAGGGTTGTAAGCTCAACTTTTATCTTGTTGATCAAACTAGCCAAGAGAAAACCTGGATCACGGATTTTCGCTATTTCGATGGAGGATATAAACAAAGCTCTAGAAACAAAAGCGACTGACACACCAAGTCTGATCAAAGCTCAACTACCGAACGAAATTTAACACTGGCTACAACTTTTTATCGAAGATCAGGAAAGTACTCTCCCGCCACACCGAGCATCGGATATGAAAATAAATTTGGAAAAAGATGATAGAGGTAGAGAAAAGCCAATACCGTGGGGGCCTCTCTATGGTATTTCAAGAGACGAATTGTTGGTCCTAAGAAAAACCTTGACGGACCACTTAGATAAAGGATGAATAAGGGCAAGTAGCTCATCAGGCGGTGCACCCGTGCTATTTGTGAGAAAACCTGGAGGTGGCTTCAGATTTTGTGTGGACTATCGAGCCCTAAATGCAATTACAGAAAAGAATCGATATCCCCTGCCATTGATCAGGGAAACACTAAGAGCTATTTCTAAATCCACGTGGATTACCAAAGTTCATGTTCGAGCTGCGTTCCATAAGCTAAGGGTCAGAGAAGGAGACGAGGAAAAGACTGTATTTTGTACAAGATTTGGTTCTTTCGAGTGGCTCGTTACACCTTTCGGTCTTCAGGGAGCTCCAGCAGCCTTTCAAAGATATGTTAATGAATCATTAGGTGACTATCTAGACAACTTTAGTACAGCATACTTAGATGATATTCTTATTTACACAGATGGTGACATCAATGATCACTGGCGGAAAGTGGAAACGTATTTCATCGCCTCAGCAAAGCAGGCTTAAAATTAGATCCAAATAAATGCGAGTTCGCTGTAAAAAGTACTAAATATTTGGGATTTATTATTAGTCTTAGTGAAGGCATCAAGGTCGTTCCTCAAAAAGTTAAAGCAGTGAAATCCTGGAATATCCCGACCACTATAAAAGGAGTACGAAGCTTCCTTGGCTTTGCAAACTTTTACAGACAGTTTTTCCCAAATTTTAGTGAAATTTCACAACCTTTAACTAACTTAACAAAAAAGGAGCAGGCTTTTCATTGGCTAAAAGAGCACGAGGATTCGTTCGAAGATCTCAAAGAACTATTCATCGAAGCTCCCGTGTTGGCACTTTATGATCCCGATAATAGAACGGTAATCGAAGCTGATTGTTCTGGATATGTGATGGGGGCCTGTCTATCTCAGTTTGACAGAACCCAAGTCCTACGACCGATAGCCTATTTCTCGAGAAAACTTACCCCAGCAGAATGTAACTATGAAATTCATGATAAAGAATTACTTGCTGTGGTTTCGGCTTTGGAAGAATGGAGAGGGGAACTCATGGGATTAAAAGAATCTTTTCTGGTATTATCAGACCATAAAAACTTAGAATACTTCATGACAACCAAAAAGTTATCTGAGCGACAAGTCAGATGGAGTAATCTTCTCTCTCAATTCCATTTCCAGTTAAGGTTTAGAGCTGGTAAAAACTCAGCACGACCAGATGCGCTATCGAGAAGAGAACAAGATATGCCAGGCAATGCTGAGGACGAACGATTGACAAACCGCAAAATGCAGTTGATAAAAGATTCTTGGTTAGAATTGCCGTACCTCGATGAAGAATCCATTAAAACACAAATAACTTCAGTTTCAGCTATCCCAAGCTCATATCTTGACAAAAATTCACGAATCATACCACCTGGGTGCCACATATTTAACGAGCCAGAGCTTCAGTTTTTGTGGGATAGGAGCTGCACAGAAGACGTTAACTTTTGAAGCAATGTACAAATCACTTAAATACGAAGAACGAAACTTCCCATCAAGTCTTAACCTTAAAGTTGCAATTTCAGAATGCAATTTGGATGAAAGAGGTGCTCTTCAATTTCGGAATAGATTATGGGTGCCTAATTGGGAACCTCTACAAACGGCCTTGATCCAGAAAACCCATGATTCCTACGTTACTGGACACCCTGGTAGAGATAGTACTTATGCAATTTTGTCACGAAGTTTCTTCTGGCTAGGTGCTTCCTTGATGGTGAGAATATTTTTTTAAAAACTGCAGCCCCAGCCAGATAGGGCCTATACAACGGGACCAAATGAGGTGCACATATCTACCTTTAGCTTCCCTCTCTGTAAAATTAGAGGCCCACTTAATCCAAACCACCATCCTCATATCGGGTGCTGGGTATTATGATACCTATGGTTCTCGCTTATTACCTGACCTATATGTTGCATAACGCAAAATTATATTGCAAAGGTCTACACATTCATTAAATGGATACGTTTTATGAATATCCTGGTGATACCCGATGCATGTTCGCATTGTTATGAATTTGTTAGGTGTAATTCGGATGTAGTGGCACAGGGGTTATCTTCTTAATTCAGTTAGGTCTGAGGCAACGGGACTTAGATTTTTTCAGGCTTGAAATTTGAATTTGTTCTTTAGCTCTAACAACCTTTTTTGTTCATTGTATAATATGCTTATTGGGAACTCGATATTTTGATAATATGATAATTTGAACATATGAATTCGTAACTTCGACCTTCGCACCTTCGTAACTTTGTAACCTTGAACCTTCGATAATTTGTCTTCGTCGAAATCGACTCGACCTCTGCAGCTTAACAGCTTCGAAAATCTGCCAATAAGTAGATTCATAACACGCACCTCATGAGAGGCGCTTTTTCGCATGCGAGAGATGAGCATTTTATCGTCCGAAATACCGGATAAATTGTGGAGCAGTAGAAGCTCGGCAAGATACTAAAAGGTCCACAACCCTCTCTAAGTTTGCTGAGGGCGTCACGAGCGTCCTCTTTCTCATTGAATTGGATTGAATTTCTCTGGTTTAAAGTCCTATTGTTACGGCGTGCGCTAAGGATCCTGGGAATCGCCGTCTGCCGAAGGTAAGGTATTAATAGCTGAGAGGATTATAGTTGCTAACGAAGGATACTTAGACATAATTCGATTGGCGAAATGCCAGGTAGTCAAAAGTTGTAGAACTACAGGATAGCCGAAAGACACGAAGTTAAGAAGTCGAGTTGGCGAGCAGGCGATCAAGAATGATAACTCAGGGTGAACAGAAGTACGAAGAATGTAACAAATAACGAAAGACTGAGAATATCGGACTGTGAGAATATACGATTATAACATTATGTAAATGCTAGATTGCGAGATCAAAGATCAAAAGAATGAAAGATTGAGAAGCTGGAGAGCTACTATGTGGCAGCTTCAGCTTCCTTAAGTCTAACTCGAGACAGTACTTGAACTCAACTAAGACTATGACGAATGCCATCATGACGCCAGCCCCTCCATCTCTAACTGTAGGAGTTTTCTCGGAAACCTTCTCAGTAAACCTTTTCCCAAAACCTTTCTCAAAACCTTCTCCTATCACCTTTTCCTGAGAACCTTCCCCTTGAAACCTCTTCAAGGATGCTAGGCCATAACACCTATGCAGTTTCTATATACAGATCTATGAAGACGGTAAGCCGCTTTGGTAATGGAAAAAGCTTTCAACAAACAAAACCCAATATCCTGCCACTCTGAACCGACCTAGCTTATTGCTTATGCCGTTCCTTTCAATCACAATTTTATAAACTCTCCTCAGAATTCGTTAACTCCGCCTTCAATCATACTAACATTGAGAGGATTTAAAAATATGAGGCAACTCCTCCCTCGGTGTTGGTCCTCAAAGTGTCCGAAGAGTTGCCC